GTATCTGTTACCTAGGTAACTGGCAGACCTGGAAGCAGTCACCTTCCCCTCCTGCTAGGTCACATCCTGGGCCACCTCTGGTCACATGCCTCCCATCTGACCTTAGGAGGGTCCCAGACCCTGAGGTCATGTCCCGATCCAGTGTGGCCATAACTTTCCCCCTCCTGGCCACACTTCTTCCTGTCCCTGACCTAGATAAGTCCTGGCCCAGGGGTGGGTCGTCCTCTCCTTTTCAGCCATACCTCTCCACCGTGCACGTTGGTGGCAGCAGTTTGGTAAATAAACTTCTTCTCCTGCCTGAATAGCACATGGTGTTCTCTTCATTGGCTACCTAATGAAACCTACCTATTTAATATACCTTACAAAAACTAAATGAGAAAAATTGAAAGGGCTACATTCCATTCATTAGTAATCCCTATTCTGCATGCTGCTTTATAAACACTCTTCTTTCTCCCAAGAAGCTGTGCTGTCCCTAAATAGACCATTAGGCTTCTAGATACCACGAACCACATGATTCTTTTATAGATTTGAAATTGTGCAACATACTGGGTACATACTATATGCTCCAGAAATACTGTTGACCAACTGATTTCTATTTAACTATTTTCTCCCTGGCAAATTTTCAAGAATGCTTAGTATTCACAAAACCATGGAATCTTGGAAACCAAAAGGAAGTATCCATCTATTGGTATACATTTTCCCTTAGATATGCATTATACAGAGATTTCCTTTGGAAATATAAACAAAGGATGCCTGATGAGCCAGGACAAAGAACTATATATAGAGATCAAGTGGCCAGAATAGCAAGGTCGAAGTGTGCCCTTCCTTAACCAGATTAAAGGGAATCTTGGGCCTGCCTCTTACCTCCTTCCCATGCTCTCCAGCCGCAAAAGAAATTATTTTCAACCGTCTATTTACTGAACCCTGAAAGTGGAGCAGCAACTATAATAAGTTACAATTCAGCTAATAAATCTATGGCGATTTTAATCTCTGTTTCTGTAATAATAGGAAGACTGCAGCTTTATTTACTTTCTAAGGAGAATAGAGAACAGGGAGAAAGAACTAAAATGGGGAGGCAGTGTTCACGGCTTCTTTATGAAATGTCAACCTGTGACAAAAACATTCGCAGACAATAAGTAAGGAAGAGGAACAGGTTTGGCAGGAAAGTAGCCTATTCCAGTTTTCTCAGAAGTACCTTAGCTGGTATCTTTCATCCCCACCCAAAGTGAAATCCCTGGTTTACACTGTGAATATAGCCATTCCCTAAACACCTAAACCTGCATTAGAGAAAAAAAAATCCAAATCATCATTCAGTATCAGGCTCTGATGATTAACAGTATCCTACTATTGATTTCATTTTATAAAATATTTGTAAGCATTTATGAAATGTTAAGCATCTTCTTAAACGGCATTTATAATTCTAGGCTTGTCCTGAAGCCTTTGGACACATAGGCTCTATGTTGAATGACTATAATAAGTAGGCTGGATTCACCCTATTATTAAGGGGAAGTTAAGGGAAGGCACATCTCTTACCTTTCAGAAGGGAAGATGTCATAAAGGAGAGCCATAGTCTTTTTTATTTTATTTAATTAATTTATTTATTTAGTCAGTAGTGGACCAGAACTCTGGGCCTGGGTACTGTCCCTCAGCTCTTCAGCTCAAGGCTAGTGCTCTACCACTTGAGCCACAGTGCCACTTCTGGCTCTTTCTGCTTATATGGTGCTGAAGAATTGAACCCAGGGCCTCATGCATGCAAGGCAAGCACTCTAGCATTGAGCCACCTTCCCAGCCCCAGCCATGGTTTTTCCCATAACTATCTTGAAGAGTCCCTGTCAAGGACAGAATCCTAAACTATATACACTTCTATGAAGATAACTCCCAAAATACACTCCTGTGATCAACATTATTATATTATCTCACTATTCTTTAAGTTCTTATTTCATAATTTATTCCATTGTCTTCATTTCCTACATAAATATATCTACATTGCGGTGGATTTTTTCATTGTGTAAGCCCTCAAAGAGTAGATACTGTGCTCATGCTTTTAAAAAAAAATTCTGGCATAATGCCATGCATAAAGAGGTATTAATAAACACTGATCTTTTGTGTAGCCAGAGAAGACAGTGGCTTTCATGATAGGATTTAACAAGCAATTCTAAGGGTGCTTCTACTTTGTTGGCTCTCATGAGACTATTCCTTCTTATTTCCTTGTATGTGACAGCACTGGTGTCACCTCCTTAAGGCCCAGGAAGGAAGGCTACCTTCAGAAAGGCACTGTTAAAACATCACCTGATGAGTTGTCTTATGAGAATAATTTCTGCCACATGAACAGAACATAAAGGATTGGGTGCTAGGATGGTCTCAGAAAGGTTGGAATAGAGCTATGTTAATATGAGGCTGGACAGGGCTGTACGCTTCCCAGAAGTGGGGAAAAGAGACTTTAATATTAATGAATAATAGAATCAAAGTGTTAAATTTGCTATTTGACTCTAGCTTGCTCTGTACTTATTAGAATGAGGAAGGGGAGTGTTAATTTTCTAGCCATATTTTATTCACTTTTAGCTGTTACTTTACCTTCAATCATGCAAATTCTAAACCTAGGGATCCCTTATCTAGTTTCCTGCTTACAATACTCTCTTGTCCCTTTACTAGTGTGGATTACTTATACTGTAATCTAACAGTCTAATCAGAATCTTTGATAGAATAGAACATGAGAGATTCTGATGAGCTGAAAACCACTCAGAAATACTTTCTATTTTGTTCCTTCTCTTTTGGAAAGGATTAGACAGATAATGGAGAAAAAGAACAGAATGCAGAAAATAATTCACAGAATTGTGACCCATAAAATCTGGAAAGTCATGAAGGTCAAAAAGTGAGTCTAACTCCTCATTTTATAGGTAAGGATATTGAAGCTAAGAAGCCAAATGACATACATTCATATAACCAGTTAATAGGCGGAGCAGGCCAAGAACCCAGTTTTCCAGCTTACATACTAATATTCTTCCTTTCCATTCCTTATGCTTCTTCCCAACCCCTGCCCACTCTGCCAACTGACACAGACATTAGTACTTTATGTACTCTACATAGAGAACCAATTTGTTTGGCGAATGTAGTGTACAATCAGGGATTATATTGCTAAGATATGTTCATCATATAAGTATGTATACTCTACTGGAAGAAACATAGACTTCAACAAATCCAAATAAGGGCTGGGTATGAAGAATCATGACTATAATCCCAGCCACTTAGGAGACAATGATAGGAGGATCCTGGTTCCAGGCCATGATAAGTTAGCAAGGCTCCTACATCAACAGATAAGCTGGGTGTAGTGGTACACATCTATAATCTACTAGGGAAGTAGAGGGAAAGGGATTGAAGCCTGGGCAGAAATGCAAGACTCTAACTAAAAAAGGCCCTATCTGAAAACCAAACTAAAGCAAAAAGGTTTAAGCTGTGGCTCAAGTGGTAGAGCACTAGCCTAGTATGCTCAAGGCCTTTAAACCCTTTAAACAGCAGGAAGGAAGGAAGGAAGGAAGGAAGGAAGGAAGGAAGGAAGGAAGGAAGGAGAAAGAGAAGGTAGGAGGGAGGGGGAGAGCAAGTAAGGGAGGGAAGAGTATAGAATTAATTCATAGAAGACTCTACACAGTCCTTTAATAATAGGAATCACCAACTGGGATTACAATAAATTTATTTTACTGTTTAAAACAAAATCAAGTCAAGGGCTGAAAGTATGGCTCAAGTTGTAGAGTGCTTGCCTTGAAAGCTTAGGGTCTTGAATTCTAGGCCCAGTTACTACCAAAAATAAATAAATAAATACAAATTTAAAAGAAAAGTGAAATAAGCAAAATAAACTCAAAGTGTTACATTTATTTGTCACCCAAGTAATGTTGGAACTAGACTATCAGGCTCCAAATAGAATTAGAAATTTTTTTATCCAATCCAAGTCCATTAGAAATAAATGTGTTCTCTAATCCTATTTAGACTTTAAATCTTACCATTAGTTCTTCCATGAAATCAAACAAAACTAAAAAGATAGAGCTAATGTTTCATGCATGCTCTTGAGAAAAAGGAATAACATCTTTATTTTATTATGCCCAGAGACAGAGTTCACTCCTCATCTAATCTCTACTCTAAATTCAATCTTGGTAACAATTTCTTGAAAGCCTTTCACTTGAACAGCAGTTTATAATTCAGAGCCAACTTTAACAGGTATGACTTGTTGATGGCAAGAATAAGTGGAAAGGTGGTAAGCATCAGGTAAGGAGCATGATCTAGGTAGGACCAGGATGAAGAGGAGGAGGAGGAGGAAAGAGGAGGCTAGAAAGAGAAAAGGCAGTCCTGATTATATTGTTACTGAAATAATATTACACTGAATGAACCTTAACCTATCCCAAGGACACAGGATTTACAACTTGCTTATGACACACCAGTAATCTCTTTAAGGAGAGATCATTTCTAGTTTGAGGAAGGAAGAATCACACATCCTTTCTGATTCTCTTACTGCCTGTAATTTGGAAAGAAGGGTGTGTCCTTAGGACTGTTGTCTCTCAAATCCATCAACACTGCATTGTTTGTTTGTTTTGTCAGTTGTGGGGCTTGAACTCTGAGCCTGGGCACTGTCCCTGAGCTCTTCAGCTCAAGGCAAGCGCTCTACCACTCAAGCCACAGTGCCACTTCCAGTTTTCTGGTGGTTAATTGGAGGGAAAGTGTCATGGACTTTCCTGCCCGGGCTGGCTTTGAACTGTGATCCTCAGATCTTAGCCTCCTGAGTAGCTAGGATTACAGGTGTGAGCCACCCATACCCAGCAAAACTGTAGTTTTTAAAAAATTATAAATATTCGTTCCTTTTCTTAGAACAAGCATCATACAGAAATGAGACTTTGTAGAGCTACTCATCACTCCAAATGATTATGAACTACATTCTGACTAAACCCAAGCTCCCCCAAAAGATCATCCAATCCATCTCCTCTGAAAGAATTGGGAAGGTTCCTGTTACATACCTCAACTTGCTGGCAGATCTGTATTAGTTTGGCCATTTGATTTTCTAGTTCACTGTTGCGCTTAACCAGGTTGGTGAGGTTCATCTCCAGAGTTTGCTGTCATCATAGAAGGTGTGAAGCCAGCAGGAAAAACAGAGGGAAAAAAGGACAAAAATAATGAGTTTGAGAGCCAATGTGATGATCAGTCAGTAAATAATTTGTTTTTCAGTGATAGGTATAGATCCTAGAGAATTACATGTGTTAGGGGAGTGCTCTAACACTAACTCATCCCAATCCATTAGACAAATATTACAAATACTCACTAAACACCTATTATGCATCAAGCTCTATTCTAGGTACTAGTTAATCAGATGTACCTCTGTTCCAGACTGTCATTACTGAGGGAAAGATGACATTCATGACGTTGTAGGTGGATATAAGAATTTATTGACATTAAAGCAACCTAATGTTTTCAGAATATTTTATTAATTTTGACTTTCTAAAGTTATTTCATTGTCAATATCTTTTTTCTCCTTCATGCAATCCTTTAGTATATAAAAAGTCATCATCATCTCTTTTACAGGTGAGTAGATTATGAAAAGTATGATTTATTGGATGATTAGTTTGCCAGACACTCTGCCATGGTAGTTCTATACATACTATTTAATAATTCTAATCATCTCATGAAAAAAAGATTAGCATTTTACTGATGAGAGAACTGAACTTCAGAGTGAAGTGTATATGGTACTGAGGAATCGAATCCCAGGCTTCATGCATGCTAGGCAAGCACTCTACCACTAGGCCACACTCCCAGGCCCAGAGTGAAGTTTAAGTGATTTATAGTCACATAACTAAGTTGCAGCAAAGCTAGGATTGGAGTCCATGTATCCAGTCCCCTATTTTAACTTAGTTATTCTGGTGAGGTTTTTTTTTTTTTGCCTTTTTTTTGTGGATATATTTATTAGTAGGCTGCTTCAATAATTTTTCTCACTCATCATCCCAACACCTTACAAAGTTTATTTCAAATGAATTATACCAACATCCTGGCCCTTCAAGCATTACTTCCCTTCATTGCTTCATTACTATCTCCATAGTTCCTCTAATTTGTTGTTCAAAGTACATACATTTGGAAGAGAGGATGGGAAAGTTTGTGGGGAGTAAGGGGGTATGAGAAAAGAAAGGAGACTCATGTTCTTTGCTCTTTTCTGTCTTCTAAGTAGCTGTAGCTTCCTAATAACTTTGGCACTGTTCCCATGATTATATCCCAGGGTATCTATTCACATTCACATAGACGTATATATTTCTAGATGGACTAATCTGATTTCACTTGTTCTTAAACTGGATTCTGAGGACCAGCTTTACTCTTACTTCATTTCTTGCCAGACCTCTCTTCGTTTCTTTGGCTTGATTCCCACTGGAGTAATTTTTCACCATTTATTTCCTTTTTCTCAGCTTGAGGGTATCTCCTCTGATTTCTTTATCTTACGCATTTGTTTTTGTGCAGATGTACAAGGACATGAACTCAGGGCCTGGGAGTTGTCCCTTAGGTTTTTCAATCAAGGCTGGCATTTCTACCACATGAGACATAATTGCACTTCCAGCTTTTTGCTGTTTAACTGGAGATAAGAGAATCACAGAATCTCCTGCATAGGCTGGCTTTGAACTGTGTGCCTCAGATCTCAGCCTGCTAGGTAGCTAATAATTACAGGCATGAGCCACTGATTTCTAGCTCTCTGATTTCTTTAATCCTATTCCATTTCAATCTGGGGTTTCCCTAACAAGTAAAATGGGAGAGAGGGAAAAAGGAAAGACAGTAATAATTTCAGCTTCATCTCTAAGATAAACTGATGTCAGAGAAGAAAGGAATTGGAAGCATAGAGATTTAATGCAACAAAATTTTTAATGAGCATCTACTTTGTTCAGGGTGCAGTAGTGACTTCACATAGAAGAGATGGAATTTTAATAGGCAATGATGGAGGATGTCAAGGTATTCCAACCACAAGGACTAGCTCACCTGTAGTCCTGGCTACTTGGAAGACAAATGTAGGAGAATTGCTTATGCCCATAAATTTGAAGCCAGCCTTAGTAATACAGCAAGATTCTGTCTCAAAAAATATTAATAAAATATCAAGCATGTTCAAGGAATGATAGTTTAGCTCAGCTTGAAGGGAGTACTAGTACTGGTGGGGACAGGCTGGAAATGTGGATCAAAGCTCTGTTATGAAGACTTTGGATATGCACCTTTTTTTTGGGGGGGGGTCCAGTTGTGGGGCCTGAACTCTGGGCTTGGGCGCTGTCCCTCAGCTCAAGGCTAGCACTCTACCACTTGAGCCACAGCGCCACTTCCGGCTTTTTTCTTTTTGCTTATGTGGTGCTGAGGAATCGAACCCAGGGCCTCATGCATGCAAGGCAAGTGCTCTACCACTGAGCCACCTTCCCAGCCCGTGGATATGCACCTTTTTTAATGGGGGGCATATCAAAAGCTGTTAAACATGGCAATGACATAATTACACATGCATTTAGGGCAATACCCTAGCAGCAGCATGTGTGGCAAACTGAAACAGGAAAACCTGAAGACCGAGATTCTGAAAAAAATGGAGGCTGCTATACTCAACGTAGTTGCTAATATAGTCTGAACTAATCTAAGAGGATGATGGAGAAACGTATTTCAAGAAAGGATTTGTCACTGTGAAATATGCAGAGAAGATAAGAATAGTGAGTGGAGATAAAAGGCATCTGCATTTGGTAATTGGAGGGCACAAATAATCTTTGAAAAAGGAATTTCAGGATGGTTTTGGAAACAGATACCCAATCATATGGGGTTTAAAAGGATGTCAGGAGTGGAAAAAGCGGCTCCTCTCCATAGGTGAGTATGACAGAATTCAGTTTGATCAAGCTGAATTATTTGATCAAATAATCTTGTTTACGTTAGAGAATAAGAATGAGATTTAGGAATAGACCCAATTGGTCAATGATTTCCTCTAGCAGAGTAATTCAAATTCCCAGGTAAATTAAATTCTATGTATCACAAAATGACTATATTGACATATTAGGTAAATAGAATGTAGATTGATGAACTCAGAGCTGAAACAATATTGAAAATCCATGTTTCCAAGTGTAATGTGTCTCCATTCAAATTGGGAGTCCACAGGGAGGATGTTCTTAACAAGTACATGTGACCTGTTGCAACACTAGTCCTGAAATTGATATTTCATGAATTATTCATGTGCATAGCAGGACTCAGATCCCTGTTATGTGATCCTCATTTATGGCTTTGATCTGAGGTTCATGGTTTTTATAAATCTACTGAATACAAAAATGAGAGCTGAACACATAATTTGGGGTCTGGTTAGACTATGGGCCTTGGGTTACCATCACAAAATTATGGCAAATGTGTGCTATGGCCTCCTAGCAATTTTCAGATTGCCAGCACGTTTTAACAACTAGAACTGACAAGATGACTCTAATTTCAACCTTGCTTCATTAATATGAAAATGCTTTGAAAAATAGATCTTTGGCTAATGAAAACACCATCTGTTGATGGCTTTTTGCCACTGTTTTCTTACATTATGAGACATAATTTGAAGAAAACACTGAACATTTACTTACTCACTTCCTATTCATTTACAAGGAATTAAAGTCTTGTCTCAAACTGGAATTGATTCTCAATAGAGAACATATGCAAAGGGAAGCAGAATTGAAGCGATTATGCAGTCTATTTCCCCACTCATTCCTTATCATGCCTAGCACTGACAAATCATTTGGAACTAAAATTTCTGGGCCACTCTAGGTTTCAATGACTTGATTGATTTGGTCAAGTAATTATCTGGTCTATACAGTGGCTGAGTAAACATAGAGGATTTGTGTGTGTGTGTGTGTGTGTAAAATCTTATGTTATTGAGTTTTAAGGAATTTGTTATTTCGCCCTCTTCTTGTATAGTCTAGTTAATGACTGGGCTAGGTTCCCTCTGCCCAAACCTGGTGAGTACAACTTTTATCAAAACAGCTAAACTGTGACAGCAAGTTAGCCAAAGTGGCAGAGAGATTGGAATGGAGATATCTGCTGGGAGGAAATGAGGACAAGAGATTGGCAGGGTAAGCAGGATGAAGCTCCATTTCCTGCTGCAGGAGGTAATCTCTGGGTCCTTCTCTGCTTCCCTTTTGTGAGGGCTAGAGAAGCCATTTTAGCTTATGACACTGTGAGAACCTGTTCACTTTCAGATGGTACCATTCTAGCAAACACACCAAATGTGCATGTGTCTAAACAGCACAAAATGAGGGGAAGATTTGGCTATCTTTTCGTACTTGAGATATTAGAAGGGCTGCATTAACTAAATTGGCAGTCTACACTGATTCCATTTTCACCAAGTTCCATTTCATCTATGTCATATAGATTCAGACCTTTGTGCTCTGTAGTTATCTTTCTAAGGGATGAACATATTTTGCTATCTGAGAAGCCAGGAACAGGCCATTCTTCTTCCAGACAGCATCCTATTTAAAAAATAAATGGCCTCTCTAACCCTCTCAAATAATTGCTGCTTTTTTCCCCTTCTCTAGATCCAGTTTATTTCTGGTAACATTTCTCACTGGCTCTCTTAAGAAACCTAGCTGTATGTAAAAACATCAGCTCTTCATTATTCTTATGGCACAAGCTGGGCTCTAATCTCCACTTTGCATGTTCTGGGAAGGCACATGCATTCCCACACAAGTTTGCACACTTACACATACACTGACCTGACACTAAGTCTTAAAGCTGAAAACGGGATGTAGCCTTTCTGTTTGTTTTATTGAAACATCTAGTATTGTTATGAAATGCCTGTAAGCTCTCCTGCTTTCCAAAAAGTACAAGGGGAACATTATCTAAACCTGGGCAAGATTCAATCTTGGAGTTTTAATGTGGGAATTGAACCTTGGGTAGAGAGGGTAGGAGAGAAACATGAAGAAGGAAAGAAAAACTCATTCATGAGTCATCCCAATTGATAGAAGATAACTTTGTCTTTAAAAACAATCTGAGCCAGTGACTCCATTTCCTCTTCTTTGGTATCTTCTTTATGAGCATACACTGACATCCTCCCATCTTCCAAAAACTACAAGTCAGAATTTTGGGGTGGGGGTGG